AGAGAGAGAGAGAGAGAGAGAGAGAGAGAGAGAGAGAGAGAGAGAGAGACAAGAAACTTCACATCCTAATCGACCTTGCTCATTGACTTACCCTACCCGATCCTATCCGAGGTCCCGTGCATCCCCCTTGCGACCCCCTAAGACTTTCGAGTGGACGGGCGTGGGTGATGGAGGAAGGAGGGTTGAGGGTGGTCGGCTATGGTGGACGGGTGTGGGTGATGGAGGAGGGAGAAGGGTTGGGGGTGGTTGGCTATGGTGGACGGGTGTGGGTGATGGAGGAAGAAGAAGGGTTGGAGGTGCTCGGCTATGGTGGACGGGTGTGGGTGATGGAGGAAGAAGAAGGGTTGGAGGTGGCCGGCTATGGCGGACGGGTGTGGGTGATGGAGGAGGAAGAAAGGTTGGGGGTGGTCGGCTATGGTGGACGGGTGTGGGTGATGGAGGAGGAAGAAGGGTTGGGGGTGGTTGGCCATGGTGGACGGGTGTGGGCGATGGAGGAGGGAAAAGGGTTGGAGGTGGTCGGCTATGGTGGATGGGTGTGGGTGATGGAGGAAGAARAAGGGTCGGAGGTGGTCGGCTATGGTGGACGGGTGTGGGTGGTGGAGGACGAAGAACGATTAGGGGTGGTTGGCTATGGTGGACGGGTGTGGGTGTCGGAAGAGGGAGTGGGTGATGGAGGAGGAAGAAGGGTTGAGGGTGGTCGGCTATGGTGGACGGGTGTAGGTGATGGAGGARGAAGAAGGGTTGGAGGTGGTCGGCTATGGTGGACGGGTGTGGGTGATGGAGGAAGAAGAAGGGTTGAAGGTGGTCGGCTATGGTGGACGGGTGTGGGTGATGGAGGAAGAAGAAGGGTTGGAGGTGGTCGGTTATGGTGGACGGGTGTGAGTGATGGAGGAAGAAGAAGGGTTGGAGGTGGTCGGCTATGGTGGACGGGTGTGGGTGATGGAGGAGGAAGGAGGGTTGAAGGTGGTCGGCTATGGTGGGCGGGTGTGAGTGAAGGAGGAGGAAGAAGGGTTGGGGGTGCTCCGACTATGGAGGATGGACGTGAAAGAAGGCACGTTGTATGTATCCTAACTCCTAGCCACGCGCCTCCGCTTTCTACTTCGGGTGCCTGGCTGGCCCATATCACTTTCGGAAGTCACCAGTCACAACAAAAATGGGGAAGGGACTGAACTGCAGCCCACACACACACACACACACACATACACTGAATGTCACCAGGTACAGCAAGGGGTAAAGGTGGACTGCACAAGTTACCGGGGACTGCAGCACTCACACATACACACACCGAATGTCATTGGGTACAGCAAGGGGTAAAGGTGAACTGCACAAGCTACCGGGGACTGCAACACTCACACATACACACACCGAATGTTACTGGGTACAGCAAGGGGTAAAGATGGACTGCACAAGTTACCGGGGA